CTCCAGTCCTTTTTAATTGTTATTTTGAGACAGGGTCTTGCTAAATTGCTGAGGCTGGTCTCAAACTTCTGATCCTTCTGCCTCAGCCTCCCAAGTTGCTGGGATTATAGGCATGCACCACTGTGCCTGGCTAGAAATCAATTTTAAAAAACAACTCACAAGGGGCTGGGATTGTGGCTCAGAGCGCGCTCGCCTAGTAAGGCACTGGGTTCGATCCCCAGCACCACATAAATATATAAATAAAGACATTGGGTCTACCTATAACTAAAAAATAAATATTAAAAAAATAGATAAAACCCCACAAATCAGAAGTAAGTTATGAAAAACAGAGTTGATGGGAAATTAAAAATAAAATGTAATCAAGTGAGAAAGCAATAAAAATCTAAAGGAGCCTCCCTGTGAGACTAATTCTAAACTAAAGGCCTGTATACAGCAGAGTCAGGGCTTCTATTTGYCTCCAAACTAGCTGCTACTATGTACACACAGTTGGCCCTCCACATCCCTGGTTCTGTATATGCAGATTCAACCAAGTGTGGATAGAAACTATGGAGGGGATTCCATCAGTACTAAAACATACGAGAGGACATGTACAGGTTATATGTGAATACTTTGCTACYTTACTTTAGGGACTAGAGCATCCACAAATTTTGGTATTTTGGGGGGTCCTGAAACCAATCCTAAGTGGACACCAAGTAATGACTATAACTGATTTTTACTGCTAATTCYTTTTTTTTGGTACCAGGGAATGAACTCAGGGGCACTCTACCACTGAGCCACACCCCCAGCCCTATTTTGTATTTTATTTAGAGACAAGGTCTCACTGAGTTATTTAGTGCCTTGCTTTTTGCTGAGGCTGGCTTTGAATTMGTGATCCTCTTGTCTAAGCCTCCTGAGCTGCTGGGATCACAGGCATGTGCCACTGCACCTGGCTTTCTGATTCTTACTCAAATTTAGAAACAGGGTGAAATACTTAATTTCATCTATGTATATAGCAATATTTGTACAATGTTATTTGTACAGTATTATTAAATTGAATTATATGTGGCATAGTACAATGTTGTCAAGAAATAAATGAGCTAAAGATGAACCCACTGTCCCCCACCAAAGCCAACCATAACATCTCCCAATTTATTTAATTGTTTTTTTACCTTTCAGAAAGCAGTACGACCAATCCAGACCTTTTAGGGTCCAAAAGCTGTGGTTTTCTGAAAGGTAAAAAAAAAAAAAAAGAAAAAAGAAAAAAAGAAAGAAAAAGAAAAGATACAAGGAGAAAGAAAAGGGGGTGTAGTGAAGGAAGGAAGGGGAGAGGAGAAAATAATAGGGGGACAAAGGGAGAAAGTATCATGGTGTCATTTCAAATACCTTATGGTCTCTGGATCTTGTGAAGAAACAGAGACTGAAGTGCATAGTTTCACCCACCCACTGTGGAGGCTTAACCTCCTTGGCAGCAGCATATAAAATAGGGGCTGGCTACATTCTTATTATTAACCCAAATCCTAATCTGCTCCTGCCACTGCCCCTCCCATTCCCCCCAAATAAAGGGGGTGGAGGGGAAAGGCACCAGGCATCACAGGATCAGAAGTTTCAAAACATTTCAGTTAGGGAAAAATGGGCCAAAAGTCAATGTAACAAGTTTTGGCTTTATAAGTTTGTACCTAGATCAATAACCTCTTAGGGTCCTTAGTTTCCTAAYCATCTAATAGTCTGGCTGATTCTTTTAAGCCATCTAAAAAATCTATGATCCAATCTTTACTTACGTTTTTCATTAAACAATCAAGTTTTGTCTGCTCACCCCAAAAGTGTAATGATCATATCAACACAGCACAAGGAACAAAGCTAATTCATTTCATGAAGGCTGCTGAGAAGGCACCTCTGGGAAGAAACACTAGATGATGTTTCAGAAATTATTTTATCCTTAAAGGTAAATTTCCTTTATGTAATCACTCACTGTTTCCAACCTTTAAAGATGCCAAGAAGATAGGATTTAGAAAGTGTAGGTTACTGAAGTTAGRAATATAAGGGTGGATCGATAGGTCATTCAACTCTGGAATGCACAAGGGCTACCCACAATGATGGAACTTTGGCTTTGATACTGATAAGCAGTAACTTCAAGGCAACCAAGGCTATGTGCTAAGATAGGTGTTTTGGTGGGGAAAAAGGAGAAAACAATCCTTAATGACAGAGGCTCCWTCTAGCTGGCAATGCAGAACAAAAATAAATAAATAAACAAAATAAAATAAAATATATGAAGTAGGGAACAGTGAATGTATTAAAAATGCATACTAAGAAGTGAAAGGAGGTGCCTGACTTTTACCTATGTCTGTATCACCAYTGAACTGTAAATACCAAGAAAACTAGGACAGATATATCTGTTTGTTATCACCAATGTCCAGCATAGTACTTGGCATATGTGAAAAATTCTGTAAAATTGGTAAATGAATGAGGTTACTAGAATTGGAATCAAGCTGTATATAATAGATGACCACAAACCAGCCTGCTTGAGTCAGACAGATTAAAGGGTAATGAGAAATAGGGCTGGTATATCAAGTGGAGACCCTCACAGAGTAAGAAAAGCAGGCAGTACATTAGAGCCTTTTAGCTTTCAAGGCAATGCCTCAGGGTTACTAGCACTCCTTGAAATTCTCAAGCAGGGGCTGAACTATCTGTGAGGAATAAAGACTCATGCAGATAAGTTCTACAATGCATTTGAATGCTGCAATAGCATGATTAAGATTTTTAACAAAAGACTCAAAATGACTATACAATATGATATGGCTTRAGAAAAAAATGTTTGCATATGTCTATAATCCCAGYGACTTGGGAGACTGAGGCAGAATAGCAGTTTCAAGGCCAGCCTCAGCAACTTAGTGAGACCCCGCCTCAAAATAAAAACTAAAAAGGGCTAGGCTAGGGACATGGSTCAGTGGTTAAGCACCCCTGGGTTCAATCCCCGMCACCAAAATAAATAAATAATAAAATAAATATTTGTATTAACAAGTGCATAGCATGTACATGGCTTTAGGTCAATGAAGGTTTGTYGACTGAGTACTCATAGAAAGAGACATAATTGTTTGGTCATACAAAGCAAACATGACAGCTGTTTTTTCAAATATCTGAAAAACCAGCATTAAGYACGTTACATGTTTTGTACAAGGATAGAGTTTCACCAAAAAACTGAAGATAAAGGCAAAGAGATTTCCACTCAAACTGTGTATGTCTCTGAGAACCTAACAACTAGGGTATTTCTGGGGTGAGGTGGGCATCCTGATAAGAGTCACTACCGAAGAGGCTTATGTTTTGGCCWGGTGGTCAGATCTCAGATGTTTTCCAACTCTGAGAGTTTAATAATTACTTAAAAAGTATGTTTTATGTTAACTAAAACATAAGTTCTTTCCACAAATTTAAAAAATTGGTAGTCCAGATGGTTTAGTAAACTCAAATGAGATCATACCAGCAACAATTACTATAATTCTCATCTGGATCCAATGCTAATTTAAACATACTTTTTCTCAAACCAAGTTGACTCAGCATAATCTTCAACAAGGAGTTGCTGTTGGTTCTTCAAAAAGTAAATGAAGTGGGATAAAGAGACTGAAGGTATGAAGATCCATCAGTGGGTTGTCATGATAACTGGCAGGGACATCTCAAAGGTATGAATGTGGTGACTTGAAAATTGATCATAATATGGATACCTTCACTGTGTGGATAGTATCTTTGCCAAGAGTCAAAATGGAACTCTGGGAGAAGGCAGAGCTGAGATGACTGGAGAGTGAAAAGATGATTAAGGTCAGTCTGAGGAAGGTTGACAGGATAGAAAGCAAGCAACGACAGAAAGGCAGGACAGAAACATACAAGGTCCAAGCTGAAGAAGTGATTAGAAACTATGAGTGGATGAGTTTACAAAAGGGGGAGGGGAGTGGGGAGTGAGAGAATGGTCAAGCAAAGGTGAAAGAGTGTGAACATAAGCATAAAAGCACACTGAACAGAAGAAATGGGTAAAAATGTCCCAAGATAGGAATAAGTTGGCAGCTAACAAGAGTAAGAAAGCCCACCTATCTGCTGCAGAGTAAATGAAGGAAAGATCTGTCCCACTGGCCACAAAGATAAGAGCYAACACTGGACATCTGACCTGGAGAAACAGGCAGATCATGAAACACTTAATAGGCTGTTAAAGAGGACTTTTTTTTCCTTTTGTTTGTGTTTTAAACAAAAAACAAGTRTATTAAAAGAATTAGGAAGATCCTAAGTTGAGGGGGTGATCCTTATGTCAAATATCGCAAAGATGTTAAAAGGCAAATATTTATGAAAAAATGACCAAATTCTAGAAGCAAGGGATTGCTGACAACCTTGAGAACAATAAAAGTGAGAAGGAAGAGTCATTCGTAGTTTCTAAGACAGATTCTCTTAGCTGGGATGAAGATTTTCCAACTGCATCACCCACTAGGGTTAGATAGTGTGAGAGAATAACTTGAGGCTAATTAACAGACATGAAAATTAACAGACYAGATCCCAAAGCTATTGTTCTTCTTCTAGAGAGATCAACAGTGACCAGTTTTAAATACTGGACAATAAAATTCCAGCCAGCATGTCTTTCTGTTTCCAGCTTTCCTCTGCTATTCTAATAGACTTTTAAGGTATATAGACCTTATATTTTGAACTGCTCTATTTTTCTTCTCCACTACTCCTAAAATTAATGAACTAGAATGGTTTACGGGGACTAGGACAGTTATTATGCTGCCTTAATTTACAAATGCCTTTCAGTAGACAAGTTATATACATAAACATATTATATATAGTTACAGAATTTTCTCATATCACAAAATTTTCAAGACTATAGCAAATAAGAAAACCAGATAAAACTAAATTAAGAAAACTGACTCAGGAACCCTATTGCTAGGTTCAACACTCAGTATCATCATTTACAAGCTGTGTAATCATGAGCAAGTTATTATCTCTATATCTATTTCCTCAGTTGTAAAACGAGGATGATAATAGAATCTATATCACAGAGTTGATGTGAGATTGAAATAATACGTGAAAAACATTTAGAACAATGACTGGTACTTGTTAATGACTATATAATATGAAATAAATATCCTTTTCTTGTACAATGTGTCTATGATCCTTCCAATGTTTGCTTGGTTTTTCTTTTCTTTTATTGGTACCAGGAATTAAATGGCACCACACCCAGCCTTCCTATGCTTTCTTAAAAAACAAACAAACAAACAAACAAACAAAAATAGGCATGATGGTGATTACCTGGTTAATCCCAGTGGCTCGGGAGGCTGAAGGAGGAGGATCACGAGTTTAAAGCCAGCCTGAGCAACTTAGCAAGATCTGTCTCTAAATATAAATAAAATAAAGGGCTGGGGATATGCCTCAGTGGTGAAGCACCCCTAGGTTCAATCTCCAGTACCAAAAAAAAAAAAAAAAAAAAAAAGCCCTGACTCAGTCTATAACAGGTTTGTGATAGGTTTTTAAAAATTTTACTGGTCCAAAAAATCTAAAACCATGCTTCTAAAATAAATAGTAAATAATCACATTTCCATCTCTTAACTTCAGTTGAAAAGAGCACAGCTTAAAAAAATTTTTCTTGATTCCTTAGACAAGAAGTTATTGTCCTTAAGATTATATAAACATCCCAATCAGGCATATTCTCCACTGAATAGTCAAACTAGGTTATTCTAATGCTCTCAAAAATATTTACCCAAAATAGATAAAATAAAAAAACATTAATGCCAATCATATAGTATATAATCATAATCATACTTACCCTATATTCAAAATCTGCAAACTCCCTGCCCCCACGACCTCCTCTGAATCCACCACGAAATCCTCGAGGGGTAGTAAATGTACCACCTCTGCCACCACCACGCCCTCTGCCACCACGGAAACCAAGACCTCCTCTGCCTCTGTACCCTCCACGACCACGGTTTGGACGAAGTGGAATCCCAAATGTTTCAGCATTTAATCTTCTTTCTTCAGCCCAGGTTGGTCTTCGTTCTCTATTATAAAAGCAAATGGCCTTTAGCATACCAGGTAKAAAAAAACATTTTTCAGCAAAAATACATAGCATTAACTCCCAAATTAAGGCCAAGTAATTCCTAAGGATCAATTAAAACTAAGCATTTAAACTAAGTAGTCCACAGCATACAAATTTAATATCTTCCTATAATATTTGGTTACATTTCATGTGAACATTCTTACAAATATAGCTGATAAAACAAAGATGACAAAGGCACAAATAWAATGGTAATCAGATATAATGGGATTTGCAATTGATTCAACTAAGTACTAATGGAAAAGAGGCAAAGCCAGGCAGGCAAACCTTGTCTTGAAGAAGCTAGGAGATGGAGGGTAGTTTCTTGAATCTCCAGTATGTTCCTAGACCAATCTCTGGATTTCATGYCAATTAACCTAGTTAAATGTCTAACCGTAGCTGTCATCCAGTCTAGATAACTGCAGTGCCCAGAAGAATCAGCCTCCCTATCCATTTTTAAATTGAAGTAAACAACTACCAGCAGATGGTGCCAAACTGCAGCAAGGACAAAACTCTGAGTTCTGGATCCAAAGTCCTTTTACCTCACAATAATCGGACAATTTTYTAGACCCACATTTACTACAATATAACAGAGTTTAACTGTACTGGCAAAGTTCAAGAAACACTAATTGTTTTGGTACTGGCTTCATGTAAAGTACAGTGTAGTGGGGAAAAGATTATGTATGTACATAYGTATGCATTTTTGTAGTAGTGGGCATTGAATGCAGTGAGCTCTACCACTGAGCTACATCCTTGGTCCTTTTTAATTTGGGACAAGATCTCACTAAATCGYCCAAGCTGCCTTTGATCTGACTTGTAATCCTCCTRAGAAGTTGGAATTATAGGTRTGTGCCTCTACACCCAGCTTAAAAGGTTAATTTAGATGTTAAAAGAATGCTTCTGTTTTAATTAGTAATATCCAAATGTGACAGCATCCCTAAACAAAAGTATATCGTCATTACTTCCTTTCACAAAACATTATTTAAGGAAGGAAGAACATGAGGAAAAGACTAACTGTAAACAAAGACGAATGGGGGGAGAGAAAGGGAAAGAGAAGGGAAAGGATTTGCAAATGGTAGGAGACCTTCAATGATACACAAAAGTATAAGAGGTTATGATGGGC